CATAACAAGGCCGATAATAAAGCCTGTATGATGGCCGGTGTCTGACCTGTATGCGCGGTGCAGCTCCAGCACTTTGTCCTGCAGCTCTTTGCTCTGGTTTGGAGCGAAGCGCAGGTCTGAGAGCGCACTGGAGTTCTGCAGCTCCGAGTCGCAGTCGCCCAGCTCAGACTGCAGCGTGTAGGAGCCCAGCACCGCGTGAGTGGAGAACGAGCACGGCAGACGGCCAGACACCACATCATCCCGCAGCTGGAGGCACAGGAAATACCTGACAAACACAAACACACACACACACACTTCACTACGGTATTCTTTATGAATGGGACGGTTCATCAGAAAAAGAAAAGAAGAATACCTGACAAACACACATTATTCATTAGAGACAGGAGGGTTCATGAAGAAAAAATAAAAAATAAATAAATAAATACAATGTTCTGTTATCTTGTCTCGGTTTGGTGTGTGTATTTTTTTGGTTTGTGCATTTTTTTTTATTTGTTTTAACACACATTATTTGAATCTTTAATGGCTTTTGTTAACTATAATAACCTTGGTTTTGCTTCTAGATTTAATTTGTGTATAAGTTTTAGCAGGTTAGTTTTTGTTTTTTTGTTTTAATTTTACAGTGTGAGCTTTGCAAAGGAACAAATGCAGACTGCTAGGAAGGGGGCAGCATTTTTAATTACCTGCACAGCCCTAACAAATGTAAATAAATAAATAAATAAATAAATAAATAAATAATTTAATTAATTAATTAGTAAGCATTTTTTGTTAATATCTTTTTTAATTAATACATAAATTAATTAATTAATACATTAATTAATTAAAAATATAAATAAATTAATTAATTAATATATTAATATATAAATAAATTAATTAATAAAAATAAAATAAAAAATAAAATAAATTAATAAATAAACAAATTAATTAATTAATTAATAAAAACAAAAAATAAAATAAATTAATAAATTAATTAATTAATAAGCATTTTTGTTAATATCTTTATTAAATAATACATTAATTAATACATTAATTAATTAATAAAAATATTAATTAATTAATTAATATATTAATAAATAAATACATTAAGTAATTAATTAATTAATACAAATAAAATAAAAAAATAAAATTAATAAATAAATAAATAAATTAATTAATTAAAAAAATAAATAAATATGGATTTAACAGAGGAATAAGTGACTGAATAATTTTTTTGGGAGGATAATGCAGTTCTTGTCTTGCAGTGCTGTATTGATCAACTTTTCAATACATGTTTGTAGTACTTTGTATTCAGTATGATGATAAAAAAAAACCTTTAAATAGATAACCAAAACAGGAAGAGCATTTTTTTTGGTAATATCTTTATTATCTGTCTGTCTGTCTGGTTCTTGAACCTGATTGGCTGAAAGCCATGCAATATTCTGCAAATAGCAGCACTCCTCCAGCGTCTTCACCCTTGTGTATTACTCCGCCCACATACATCAACAAGCAGAGAATGCTCTACAGTTTGACGAATATTGCAGCTGTTAGACAACAAGATGTACTTTTAAGGCTTTTTAGTCAAGAATGCAGTTGTTCAGATTGCAACTATGCAGCTTATTTATAAGAATAGTGCCTGTTTTAATATATGTGTGCAGTGCCGCAGTGGATCGGCTGCCATCAGCCTGAGCCGAGCAAAGTAAGTGACGGTTGACGTTCCGCCACAAGATGGAGACAGAGACCACATTATAAGTCCATAAGGGAGAAAAACAGCATTTTCTCAGTGTAAATGTGAAACTACAGCTGATCAAATTATTATAGATAAGGTTAGTGACATTTTAAGTCGATCTCTCTGTTTTTTATTTTGTATTGCTGTATTTATACCAAAGAAACCGCTAGTGTTTGCTTTGGCATTTCAGGGTTAATTATTGTGAAATCCCGATTACAACAGAGAAATACAGGAAAATCTCTATAGACTAATGGCATTTCATGCTGTTCAGCCTTATAATCTTAAAATGTGACCAAAATCAGCTGTTTTGTCATCACTTTAGACATTACGCTAGAGAATCATTCAAACACTAGCTCTACAGTGACGTGTGTGAATGAGCAATGGTTTCTGCTGTTCTGACGTCAGTGGCAGATGTGATTGAAGGGCGGAAGAAAGTAGTTCCTCATACCAAAGGGTTTTTGAGACTCTCTGTGTTTGATTTTTTGTTTATATACACGATTATGACGTTCAACTGTTGTATAAACGCAATATCACACAATCGTAGCAGTGCGATTTGGCTGTGTATCGTCATTGGCGGGACACTAAGGCAATGCTCGCCTCCCACCAGTGCCAATATACAGCCACATTGCACTGCTACGGGTGTGATATTGCTCAAATTTATGTATATATATACTATACTATGTATTTTATGTATATATATATATATATATATATATATATATATATATATATATATATATATATATATATACTTGTAAAGAACATGTTGGTAAATAATGGCCCAGTAGTAATTAATTTATTTACTTACTAACATAAATAAACAATTAATAATACATTTATTTTGGTGTTTATTCATTTTTGTTAATGTTAGTTAACGTTATCCAAATTAACTCACAGTGCATAACTAATATTAACACAACTTTGGGTTTTAATAATGCATTAGTTAAAGTTGAACCATGCTTAATAAATGCTTTGCAAGGTTATTCATACCCAGTTAATGTCAGTAAATGCATTAAAATATTATATAAGTTGTATAGGTATAAATATAGGTTGTGAATGTTCTTGTGTCAGTGGATTGATGTGCACCTGGTGATGTCCTCCGAGAGCTGCGCTGGATCTGGAGGATAAAACTTCACGTTGAAGGCGAAGCTCCAGGGAGAAGCTGAAAAACAAGAGCTACTGTCAGATCCTGCGGATGAGAAAGAAGACAAAAGCACTTGTGTTTGAGGGAAAACCTACTGCTGATCTGCTTCTTGATCTCTTTGGAGGCGTCCAGCCAGTTCTGGAGGAAAAGAAACATCAAGAGTTGCATTACAAAAACTAATGAAAATCACAGTCAGGAATCACAGTCTAGGGTTGCCAAGTCCACTGTTTTCCCGCAGACTTGGCTTACTTTTAAAGTTCCTGTGAAATTAAAATAAAGAGTAACACGTCATTTAGCAGACACTTTTATCCAAAGCTACTTACAAATGAGGACAAGGAAGCAATTTACATAACTAAGAGCAACAATGAAGAAGTGCTGTAGGCAAGTTTCAGGTGTGTAAAGTGTAAGAAGCAAAACATTAGTAATTTTTATTTATTTATTTTTTTTTAAGTACAGTTAGTGGTATATCCAGAGAGGCAATTGCAGATTAGGAAGGGAAGCGGAGACTAAATAGTTGAGTTTTTAGTGGTTTCTTGAAGACAGCGAGTGACTCTGCCGTTCTGATGCAGTTAGGGAGTTCATTCCACCAACTAGGCAGATTGAATGCGAGAGTTCGGGAAAGTGATTTCTTCCCTCTTTGGGATGAACCACGAGGCGACGTTCATTCACAGAACGCAAGTTTCTGGAGGACACATACATCTGCAGAAGTGAGAGCAGATAAGAAGGAGCAAAGCCAGAAGTCGCTTTGTAAGCAAACACCAGAGCTTTGAATTTGATGCGAGCAGCAACTGGCAGCCAGTGCAAACGGATGAGCAGCGGAGTGACATGTGCTCGTTTAGGTTCATTAAAGACCACTCGTGCTGCTGCGTTCTGAAGAGCTGAAGAGGTTTGATTGAGTTAGCTGGAAGCCCGACTAGTAGAGAGTTGCAATAGTCCAGTCTGGAGAGAACAAGAGCTTGAACAAGGAGTTGAGCTGCATGTTCAGATAGGAAGGGTCGGACCTTTCTGATGCTATAGAGTGCGAATCTGCAAGATCGAACTTTAGTTGTAGAGAAGTTTAGTTGGTCATCAATGGTTACTCCAAGGCTTTTCACCATTTTGGATGTAGTAATGGTTGCCCCATCCATCTGGATTGAAAAGCTATGGTGTAGAGTCAGGTTGGCAGAAACTTCAAGCATTTCCGTTTTCGCGAGGTGAAGCTGAAGATGATGATCTCTCATCCAGTGTGAAATGTCCGACAGGCAGGGTGAAGTTTAAGTAACAGTTTAAGTAACAATTCACAACATTTACCACTGGTTTATTATTAAGATATTAACTGTTTATTAGCACTTATAAAGCTTGATCTGATTTTACAACTTTAACACTACCACCCCACACCTAAACCCAACTACTAACTTTTAATAAGCAGCTAATTAGTAGTTTATTGAATTAAAAGTCTTGGAAAATTGTTTGTTAAAAGCATAAATTGTACATTAAAATAAAGTCTGACTTAAAATAAAGATTATTTAGATTTTAGATGTTAGTATCAGTATGTTAGTTTGAAGGATATCTATAATCAAGTGTCTCCAAAACAGTGACAAAATTCCCGTCTGGAAGATTAAAAAAAACGCATATAAACATCTAAAGTTTCTCATCAAATCTTCTGACTTATCAAATGGCTGTT